GACGCAACAACCCAGAAGATATCCGTCCTCAACCCTGGGTTTGCAAATAGTTGCCTACGAAGACGAACCCCGTTCCGCGGATTTTGTAAATTGTTAGTGTAAATATCTACTCTGTACTTGTAGACAACACTGATGACGCAACGTCACACAGGGCGAGGATTATGTTTCGGCATACGACGTCAAAGTAGGAGTTTGAGACTAAATTGGACGACCCTGGAGGAGCTGGTGTAATTTACCACAGCCCCAATGGCGGAAGGAAATTAGTTCTGACAGTTCCTTTTTGTTACTCGGACGAGACTTCATCATCATTACTATCATGAAACCTTGTTCACGTTGAGATTGTTTGCACAACTGAGTAAACTTTAAACAAGAAGCCACGTGCCTAGAACAAGGATGGATGAGCGCGCATTCACCGACATCCCGTAATAAATTCCTACACGCGGTATAACCCGTTGAAACACGACGAAATTTTTCTTTATTTTCGGCTAAATATGTTACGCTGTTCTTCGCGAGTTAAATGTTATTCTGTCGAGACACGAGACACGAAACACAGCAACTAACAAGTCCAGAATGACTCAATGAATTAATTTGCCTGGTTTAGTGAAAAAACATCAGAATGACGTAGCGAAAAAGTTCAAAGTTTCATGCATAATTTATTACAACCCAAATTAACCGAATTATTACTCATTATTCTTTGAGTTCTCCCTTCATTTCTTATAACCTCATCCTCAGAGGTCTTTGACGTCAAACATTTTTAGGTCTATCCTTTAGCGAATGTGAAGAACACCTTAAAGGCCCGACCAAGTCACATCGTTAAACAATGGTCTTGGTCCACAGTAACCTGTGACACGCTGTTGCATTTGTTGTCCTGCTCGCGTCATTGCCCGTGATGTGGCGTAAAGAACGCCTCTGAAATTTCAGTTTACTCCAAACAGGACACCTTTTAATTATGTGGGTGTCGTCCATTAAATTTATTTATACATATACATACATACAAAAAAGAAACAAACAAACAAACATACATTCATATAGTTCGCGACTGTAATCTTGAGACTTGCGGGGTGAAGGATTCCTTGCAAGTCTCAAGATTACAGTCGCAAACAGTACACACACACTTTGCATATTGGAGTCTCGTAAATCCATCGCCACAGAAGACCCCAGGTCCAAAATTGGTGAGGTTGCAACCACTAATCTTACTGAACATTCCGACGACGAGACTATCCTCACACCTTAAACACAAACGCTGTTCGTGAGTTAAAACTCTGTCACGAAAAACGCACTTTTCAATCCATATTACATTCGACCTATCAATTTACTTCAAATAAAAGTACATCCAACGAACTTATTTCAGAAAAAAAAAATATTATGACGCTGGCATTTTAAGGAAACCGCTGTCTGTCCTTGGAAGCAGAAGTCGATAATAATCGCTTTTCAGTTCGACTATTCCGAACAGCAGTGTCCTTTACCAAACTCGCGAATTAACAAAAACATGTAAATATCCACAGCGTGTATAAATTCCTCCAACAATGCGTTCCTGTGTTCAAGAATAATTATCCTTGTAAAAAAAAAAAACATTCCGGTTCATGAACGTAGACTGCAACGCCAATGTATTTAGGAACAGAAAATCCCCTGTCGATTCTCAAATTATGCAACTATCAGAGCAACATCATTTTCAGCACTTCTTACAAAAAAAAAAAAGTTTATTTTATTGATTCACGCAGTGATACTTGACTCGAAAAAATCGTTATGGCTCGTTATAATATTTAAGCCATTACGTAATATGAACCTTGGATCGCTAAAATACTGGTATCATTGGTTTGAATCCGACTTAACGCCAAGGAAGGCGGAGGCCTTGCCACGGGTGGATACGTCATCCACAGTCATACAAAGTGTCGAAACGGATTCATAGATTCAAAACTGAATTCTTAACTGGTACGGGCCAGAAGGGCTAATTCATAAACCCTGAAGAAGTAAGGACAAACTGAGGAGAATAAACTTACAATTACAAAACACATGTCACGTAAAAGATATCAGAATCTATTAAAATATTTAAAAAGTAACAGGCAAAATTTATTTTAGACCCTTACATAAAGCGACCTTTTAATTAAACGAGGATAAATTAAACGTACATTCATTCTTGGAAGGACTAAAAATAATACTTTCCCATTTGACACTCGTGTCAGTCAGCCTGACTACTAGGCCGCTGTTAATGCCAGTTGCGCATGCGCTGTGCAGACGCGAACGTGTGATTTCGCGAGCAGAACGAGCAATGATCGAGTGAAACTAATACGAAAATGCAGAAAGACTTGGATAAAAACCTATCTCAATGCCACTCGTTTACCACAAATCCCACACGGACTGGCCTGCTTTGGGGCAAACCCAAACCTACGCGGTGAGACGCTGGCGACTAACCACCTGAGCTATGTCACGGCCAGACACACGTACTTACAATTACTACCGCGCATACATAATCGTAATGTCAAGAACCTCTGTTTCTATAAATAACATCGCTTTGCTTTGCGTTGCGTGACATGGTACTACTGATCTCGCAAGTGACGAGAGTCAGGGATCAATCATTAGTTACTGTTTCCGAAAACAGAGCTAGGATAAGCTTGTATCTTCCAAACATCTCATTCATTGTTAACTATTAGCAGTAATAAATAACACTGATTATTCGTGTCCCTAAATATTTCAATGTAGTTGTCATCCTTCTACAATGTCTGGCGGTGTTCCTTGTAACAATATCCCCATGTTCCCAGATGTCACAACATACTTAACAAAAACGCATCAACACATCTTACCTGAGGCCCCGCCAAAAAGGAAAAAAAAAACGCAAAGTACAGCAGGTGGTATGAACTTCAGCACTCACAATGCACAAACAAATGTCGACAAACGTCACTTTAACTTATGAAACCACGTGGAGGGCAAGTCAGCTATCCGTTGCACCAACAGCACAGACCAACATCCACTCTTTCACTCCCATACCGGTCAACGACTGACGACCTACCACTGTACAATCCACAGGGCCGGCCCCCTGATGCTGGGAGCTATCAAACGACGCGGTCGCACTCTACCGACATCTGCTAGACAAAGTTGGAACTAATAGCAACACACCTCTATTACTGAATCGATTACACGTCTAAACGATAGATCGTGAACACAACGAATCTATCGATTGGCTGAGAAAAGCAGCTTACGTGAGAAGAATTTCATTAACGTCGGCTCACGGTTTGACTTTTATGATATCAGAATTTTAACACTGGCTGTTACAACATACTTTTAATCCCGAAAAATGTTTTTGTAGGTTATAGAGATGGGCAGCATTTCTGTCTGTACATAATATCTCAAAACGCTACAAAAAAAAATGAAACAGATTCCGACGCCCTTTGTCGTTTGCCGCTTCAAAGTAAATGCAACGAAGAGAATCCAATGTGTATTAGGGCGTGTATAAGGGCGCACCTGAGTCTTTTGATTCAATAAAAGGGTCTATGAATGTAGAAATCCAGGGATACATAAAGTTAGGTTCTCTTCTCAGTCGAGGGCACCGTGGCCATGTTCAACCCTATAATGCGGTACTTAATGACTTATCGCTCGTGGCCAGGCATTGATAATGATATACAGAGTCCAATCAAAAAATGTACCACACTCGCCAGTGTACCACCCTGAAAGCACTGGGGCTGTCAAAAGCACTGTGTAGATGATTAAGGACTGGGGCTGTCAAAAGCACTGTGTAGAAGATTAAGGGTCCCACTTAATGGTACCTG